GTACTGGAGATTGAGCTCTGGACCTTGTGCTTGCGAGGCAGGCGCCGGAACCACTGAGCTAAATCCCCAGCCCCCAGTTTATATTTTTTAAATTATTATTTTGAGACGGGCTCTTGCTATGTAGCCCAGGCTGGCCTTAGGCTCTTGGCGATCCTCCTGCCTCAGCCTCCCAAGTGCTATGATCTCAGGTGTGTGCCACGGTGTCTGCCTCTTCTGTCAAATTTGTTATTTTCTGAGGCAGGGTCTCACCATGTAATTCAGGCTGACCTTGAACTCACTATGGAGCCCAGGCTAGCTTCAAACGTGTGGCGATCCTCCTGCCCCAGCCTCCCCTAGTTAGGATGTTAGGGCTAGTGGCAGAGAGCTTGCCTAATACGTCTGAGTGCCTGGGTTCCAGTTCTTACTCTGGAAGAGGAAAAAGCTTCAGTTTCCAAGGAATAAATACACTGAAAAGTCTTTTTTTTTTTTTTTTGGTACTGGGGATCGAACTCGGGTTCTTGCGCTTGCAGGGCAGGCAGCGGAACCACTGAGCTAAATCCCCGGCCCAAAAAGTCTTTAATATTAAGAGTTTTTATTATACAAATTCTTTTTGGCAATTCAGGTAGAGCAGCCACCACCCGCACCGCCCTGAGGAAGAAAAATGGGAAAAGCAAACGAAGAGGGCGGGGCTTGAGGTCCAGTCTTTGTAGCAGCTTCTCAGGACCGGCTCAGTCCAAGGGTAAGCTTAGGTCCACCGGGGATGCAGCCAGGATACCCTCCTGGAAAGGACAGCAGCACAGTTGAGGGCAAGGAGGCGATCGCCACGCATGCGCAGTAGTGGGGGTTGGGGGGGTGTCCGGAGAACCAGACAGGGGTGTGGCGTCCTGGGATTTGGATCACTAAGAGCTGAGGCTCTGTGCTGGTTGCAGGCCCCGTTCCCTCTCCGCCCTGGCAGGACAAGGATAGGGGACAGAACCCCATGGGACTGTGGCGGGGTTTTAGCGGGTATGCTACTGAGCTCCTTGCCCTGGCATCTGGTCTCGCCTGTTGCCTTTCTGTAACAGCAGCCCATTTTCCAAGCACTGAAGCTTGTTTGCTGAGTTCTACATTTGGGGGTGGGGTGGGGGTGGAGGCAGGGTCTCCCTTTGTAGTTCATCCTGACCCTCAACAATGTAGCCCAGGGTGGCCTCGAACGCGCTGTGAGCCTCCTGCCTCTGCCTCCCTCATGTGCGTGCCACCATGCCCAGATGGCTCCACACTCAAGGTGTTGCCGAGGTCCAAGGGATCTCCCTCTGGCCAGAACACTCGCAAGGGTCTCTCAAGCTCCCTCAAGCCCGCTCCCCACCCCTCCAGTCAGCTTCCCCCTCAGTGAGCTCAGAGGCAGCCCGCCCCCCGTCCTTCCAGTCCAGCCACCCGCAAAACGGTCCGCTCTCTCCCCGCGGTCTTCCCTCGAGTGGCCACCAGAGGGCGCGAGAGAACATGGACATCAGCTCAGGTCTCCACGGCCGAGTCCAAGTTCACAGTGACACAGGGTCTGGCCGGCCCTTCTGCTGCCATCCCTTGTCCCCTCCCTGTCGCTTCCCCTGCTCCAGCCCTACAAGCCTCCCCCACCCCCATTACATCCTGAGAGTCGGCCTGGTCCTTCTCTGCAAGACCTGCAAGGCTGGAGACTGAGGCCGCGTCCACAAGACCAGGGGAGACTGACGCCAGGGAGGTGGGAACAGCTGCAGATCACCCAGCACCCTGGAGCCCAGTCCGTACTGGAGGTAAAGCCAGGGGCAAAAGAGGTGACTGCTTGGTCCTCAGAAGAGGAGTTGGGGAGGACAAAACACAAGGCAGCAGAAAACAGGTGTGAAACCGCATGGGTACTGTGGAAAGGCTTCCCATCCTCAGGATAGATGCTCCAGCCCAGAGGGAGTAGGGGGGTGTGGCCAAGAACCTGGCCGTTTTGCAGTGCTAGGTACTGAACCTGGCTCTCTTATATGCTAGGCAAGCGCTCTAGCACTGAGCTGTCTACTCCCTTTTGCTTTTCTTTTGTTTCCTTTTTTCTTTACTTTTTTTGGGGGGGGGGGGCAGGGTCTCACTATATAGCCCAGGCTGGCCTCAAACTCCTGGCGATCCTCCTGCCTCAGCTTCCTGAGTTTAGGGATCACATGTGTGCACCACAATACCCGGCTGTTTTGTTTTGTTTTCCAGACAGGGTTACACTGTGTAGCTCAGGCTGGCTTTGAACTCAGGATCCTCCTGCCTGAGCCTCCCTAGTGTTGGGTGTGTACCCTGCTCCGGCCCTTTTTAAAATTTAAAGTTTTGATATTTTTTTTTGAGACAGAATTTCTCTGTGTAGTTTAGGCTGCTCTTGAACTGCTATGTGTCCAAGGTGCTTCTCCTGCCTCAGCCTCCTGAGTGGCTGGGATCACAGCTACGTATCACTACACCCAGTCAGTGACTGTGGTGTAGATCAACGGTAGGGCACTTGTGCAGTATACCTGAGACCCTGGGTTCAGTACCCGGCAGCTGGGTGTGGTAGCTCACATCTGAATCCCAGCACTCTGGAGGCTGAGGCAGGAGGATCACTGGGAGTGCAAGGCCAGCCTAAAGAACACAGAGAGTTCAAGACAAGCCTGTCTCAAAAATCAAACCAAACCAAACCATAAATAAATGAGAGCCCGGGAAGCCTCCCCCTGATCCCAGGGCACCCCAGAAAGAGCAGAACCAAGGAGGCAGGGGAAGGGATCCCTGGAGAAGGGCATTTGGGTGGGCAGCAGAGCAGAGGCAGGCAGTAACCAGGCAATGACACAAATGCCCACAGGTGCCAGGCAGTGCTTGGACCTACTCCCCACAAGAACCCTCACGGCAGTACAACCACTCTCCCACCTTACAGATGAGGAAACTGAGGCAGGGGCCCAGCCCACGCGGTGTCACGGCAGCTCGTGTCCACCAGCGCCTTTAGCCAGACAGGGTTCCAGCAGGCATCTCAGTGCCCAGTGAGAAGCAAGGATTCAGTAACAGATCGAATGAATGGTGGAGCTGGGAGCTGAGAGGTTTACAAGGAAACCGCGCGACTCCCACCGCCTCCATCACAGCACATTTTGGGTAAACTGAGGCCCAGAGAAGCTTTGGTGGCTCACCCATCCCCCTTGGGCCTGGATCCAGGGTGTGAAGCTCTGCACGTGCTCCACGCTGAGTCCGGCCAGGGTGCCCCCCAGCCGGGCCACGCGCCGGCTCAGCTCCATGGCCAGGGCCAGGCGGGCTAGGGGCTCTGGGGAAGGCGGTGGGGGCCCAGGGCATGGCAGCGAGGGGCTGGCGCGGCTGGGGCCGGGGCTGCCCTCCCGGCTGGAGAACAGTTCCACTAGGCGGGCGAAAGAGCCGGTAGACAGGCGGGCCAGCCTGCGGCGCAGGGCGGGGTCTGACGCCAGCTGCGGGATGAATGGGGGAAGAGGCGGGGCTGACCTCAGTCAACCGGCGTACTAGTCACGCCCCGCCCCAACCATCCCCTCTTCTGACTCTATGGACTCTGCCAAAAGGGCTCCCAAGGTGGCCTAGAACCTGCTAATTCACGCCCCCAGAGTTCTTGACAGCCAATCAGAGCCAAGTCCTACTTTAGCAGAGTTGTAGGATGCTAATCTCCGAGCCACACCCCCTGCATTTAGGCACTGCCACCTCAACAACCGCAGGAAGCCACTACTTTAAAGTACTGCCCCGACCATATACCTCTTTGAAGTCCTGTCCCATTCTCCCTACCCAATCTTCCAAAGAAAATGTAGATCCAGCATCTGATCCCAGGGCCCCACCATCCCGCAACTCCTGTCCTCACTAGGGCATGGAACAGGGGGTCTGTCACCTTCTGGTTGATGACTTCCGCCTCCTCTTCCAGCAAGGCCACCAGCCTCCGCAGGAGGGCTTCCTTCTCCGTGGGTGGGGGGCCCTGCAACTCTAGGAGCAGAAGAGAATTGGCCTGGGGACAGAGCCCTGCTCCCTTCCTCCTTCTCCAGGGCCCCTCTGTCCTCACCTGGGCTGGGCGGACATCTCAGCTGCTCTTGGACCAGCTGTTCCAGCCGCTGAGCCACTAGGGCATAGAAGTCAGGAGTAGCTGGGCCTAGGATGGAAACAGTCAATGATACTTGGTCTCCTTGGGGTAAAATGAAGCCCAGTGAGAAAACGTGGTAAAAGATCCCCAAATTCTGCAATTTCCACTTTATTGTATCCCCAAATAGAACTCAGAATGTCAGCATTAGACTGAACTTTGAAGATTATTCCATCCAAGGAAGGCAAACAAACACATGGCATTCCTACCTTACCACCCTATCCCTCACACATTTCAGACATCACCAATTGATCACAGCATTCATCTCCCACACTGCAAATTCCTTATCATGCTAGAACCCTCAGCAGCCATTACTAGTCTATTCTGCTTCACCTATGAGAGAAAACCTGTCAGTCACTCTTGATCAAACCTGATGACCTGCTACTCTGCTCCTGGAAAAATAGAGAAGCAGAAAAGCAATAGGATTTTTCCTAGTCATACAAATAAAAACCAGGTGTCCTGCCTCTATTGGGAGTACCTGTTTCTACTAAAGGGACACTCTTAGGGGACAGAAACCTGTATGGGAAGAGAAATAACTACTAGATAGGGAGTAGGCTAGGGTGGTGGCACACACCTGTAATCCCAGCCTTTGGGAGGCTGAAGCAGAAGGATCCCTGAGTTCAAGACCAGCCCTGAGCTACATAGCAAGACCCTGTTTTGTTTTGTTTTGTTTTAAGGCCAAAAGCCTTTTCCACAGTTAACTCACATGACTGACAAAAATCTAACTGAGCTGGGGTAGGGGCAGGATGGTGCAGACTGGTGCTGGAGACCCCACATAGGTACCCACTAGCCAAGTGACCTTGAACTAGTATCTTATCTTGTCTGTGTTTTAGGAACCAAGGGTCCTGGCCCTACTGGTTCTAGAGGTTCTCTTACCAGGTTCTGAGCCATAGCAGGGGTGCAGGGGCAGAGAGCAAGGCCGAGAGGACTGAGGAGGAACAGTTCCTTGTCCCAGGGGGCAGGGAAGACATCTTCGAAGGCGGCTCAGGAAGTCCGTTGGCTCCACTTGGGCAAGGCTCCTGGGGAGAGGACCTCAGACAGTGACCCCAGAGACCTCCTACAAGCAGTCCCTTTCTCGTCCTGTGGAGGCCCTGTCTTTGGAACCCCAGGGAGCCAGATATGAAGAGAGGAGACTGGCTGAGACCAGGAGCAAGAGTCAGAGAAGCCCTCAACCCAGATGTAGGCCTGGGGGAGGAGAGCAAGTCCTCTTACCTGGGTGGAGATGGAGTGAGGGACCCGGCAGGCTCACCCCGCCTCAGAAAGGCAGCTAGGACCCTCAGCGTGTCCTCCCGGAGCCCCAGCTCTTCTGAGCCTGCCATGGAGACAGCTGTGAGAGAGAAGGCAGACGAAAGAACTCAAGGTTCAGTGGGAAGTGAAGGCTTGGGGTCCAAACTGCTGGGATCTGAATGAAGAGCAGACCAGGACTCATAGCCTCCAAATGAATGGGGTGCTGAGTCCTTCCGAAAGAGTTGGGTTCCTGGGAGCAAGACTCCCGGGTCCCCACAGGGACCTGAGGGATGAGGAATGACTACTTTACCCTGGGAAAGGGAAATCTGGGGATCTAAGGGAGAAGATGGCTAGGGGCGTGGACTCCTGGATCTTCGAGGAAGAATGGGGCTTGAGCTTTGACTCTGGGATTCTGAAGAAGCCAAATGCCAAGCTACTTAACCTCTTAAGAGGATCAGAAACTACCAATCCCAGTAGGCTTTGCGGCAAACAGTACCCTTGTTCTGAGCTTGTTCGCCCCTCAGCCAATTGGGAAGTGTAGTTCCAACTATCAGGCTGTATTCGGAGACCCCGGGCGTTTGGAGCGAGAAGCCAGATTAGGATGGCAGATCCTGGATCCTGGCCCCCTCTTTTTCCCTCCTCACCCAAGCCTTCGATAACACCTTGCTCACCTGGTCCGGGGCCCCGCCGCTGCCGTCCCCGCCCCCGCCTCCACTCACTTTGTACAAACTTTTATTAGTTCAACTTTCCCGCGCCTGCGCACTGCGCCTATTTGGTAACCGCCCCAATGTAGAAAGGGCGGGGTGGAGTGTCGCCTAATTTGCATATGACGTTCCCAGCATGCCTGTGGCAGGAAAACCAAAAAAGGGAGTGAGAGGAACCGCCTGGGTTCATCGGCCCTCCCCTTTGTCTTTTGAATTTTTACTCAAGGGTTAATAAAGTTGTTTTTACCACAGAAAAATCAATCGAAAGGAAAGCCCCGGCACCCCATAGCTTAGCTGACAGGAAACGGGGTTCGCAGATTCGAGTTTGAGAGCTGCCCGGAGTCCAAAAAGCGGGTGCAGTCCCGTACCCCGCGCGCCCCGACCCTCCCAGGGTAGGTAACGCGGAAGAGCTGGGGAGAACTGGTGGCATCGAAGCGAAGATCGAGGGAGAGGATGGATCTGCACTGATAGCTGCCGAGAAAGGCTGTGTACTCTGAATGAAGAAGGGAGCTACTACAATGGCTAGCGCTGGAGGTCGGCTATAGAAAAAACTAGGAAAAGCCAGGAGGAAGGAGGAAGAGAGGAGGCGTCTACACTGAGGATTCCTGGGGGGAAGGGAAGGGTGATTTCTGCAAACAGGAAAAAGTCCCCTCTAGAGCGCGGGCGTGTGTTTTTCCTGGGGGTGTTGTGGAGGCAGGGAATTGGGAAGGGGGAATCTTCCCTGGGGAAAGTACGGGAGTAGCAGCTGTACTGAAATAACTAGGGAAGGAGGCTCTATTCTGGAAGTGGGGTTACCTGCTTGATGACGTGGGTGAGGGAAGGGTTTACACTAGGAAAGAGAAGAGTTTGAACTGGAGGAATTGAGGGGCTAGAGCGGCTGCTGAATTCGCTTGGGTCGACCCCGGATATAGAGAGTCCTCGAAGGATAGGAGCATGGGAGAGGTCCCCTGTTTGTACCCCAGGAAAACACGGGTGAAGGGCCTACCCCGTAGCTGGGGAGAGGGAGGTCTCAGTGCGAAAGCTCGGGGCGAGCGGCCCTTGAAGGGTGCCCGCGCCCAGGTACTGTCCTGTACGCGCAGGCCGGACCATGGGAACCCCAAAGCCAAGAATCTTGCCCTGGCTGCTATCGAAGCTGGACCGGGGGGAGCTGGAGGGCGTGGCCTGGCTGGACGCTAGGTGCAAGCGCTTCCGCATTCCTTGGAAGCATGGCCTGAGGCAGGATGCGCATCTGGAAGACTTCGGCATCTTCCAGGTAAGTGAGCCCGGGAGTACGGGGAGTGTGGGAAATCGAGAGCTCCGCGCAAAGCAGAAAGTACACTACTCCGAGGGGGCGGGGCCAATTTGGCGGGACGGGCTTCTGGTAACACTAATAGGTGAAGTTAGAACCGGAGGGGCGGGGCCGGCAGAATCGGCCTGATGTTGGGCGACAGGGATGGAAGGGATTACTCCGGGAAAGTGGGTTTGGATCTCTAAGGAAATGCGTCCTGGAGGCTGGGAGCTCATGGGTGGGGCCCTGGTGGAAGACTTCTTGAAACTTTAGCGACGGGGTTACTAACCACCAAATTAGGATAACTAGTGGTGGTAAACCGTTAAGAATGTGAGGGGTTGGGCCGGGGATTTAGCTCAGGTGGTTCCTTAGCCTGCCTCGCAAGCGCAAGGTCCCGGGTTTGATCCCCGGTACCAAAAAAAAAAAAAAAAAAGAATGTGAGGGGTGGTGTTATCATAGAGGGTGTGCTGGAGTTAGACACCAAGTAGGGCCTGGAAAACTAGGTTAGAGAGCAGGGTGTGATGTCTGCCCAGGCCTGTAGTCCTAGGGCTCCAGAAGCTGAGGCAGGAGGATCACTGTGAATTCGAAGCCTGCCTGTAATACATACCAAGAACTTGTCTCCAAAAAAAAAATGCTAGAGCTTAGAAAGCTGGAGGTGGGCAGGGATGGAGGAGCTTGGGGTGCAGAGACTCCAAGATTTTGGGGATGGGATCTTGTGGATTTGGGAGGAGTTAAGACTGGAGGAGGCAAGGTAGGACCCCAGGAGCACGGCCATGGTCCCCTCCCACTATCCTGTACTGCTGTTGCCACAGGCCTGGGCTGAGGCCAGCGGCGCCTACATTCCTGGGAGGGATAAGCCCGACTTGCCAACTTGGAAGAGGAATTTCCGATCAGCCTTGAACCGGAAGGAAGGGTTGCGTTTAGTTGAGGACCGGAGCAAGGACCCTCACGACCCTCATAAGGTTTACGAGTTTGTGGACTCAGGTGTGCCAAAGCAGGGTTTTCCTCGGAGGCTTGGGGTCTGGGGTGGTCTCTGGAGTCCATACTCTGCTCACCCCTTCCCCACAGGAGCGAGGGACTCTTCCCAGCTCGACACCTCTCCGGAAACCAACGAGAGAGGCAGTACCTCTGACACCCAGGTGAAGATGCGCCCAGCCCTCTGCCCCATCCCTGCCCTGTTCCACGGGCCCATCAAGGCCTTGTCCTCTGTCCTCTCCATTTCCTTCCTGTCACCCACTTGACATTGCCCAGGCTGATGAAATGTCTGGCTGTTTCCTCCAGGAAGACATCTTGGACCTGCTGAATGACATGGCCTTGGTCCCACTCCCAGATGGCAGGGCCCCTGAGTGGAGTCCTCTGCACTTGGACAACCCCATACCTTGTCCAAACCCAGCACCCTCTGAAAACCCACTGAAGCAGCTGCTGGTGTCCGAGGAACGTGAGTGCATGCCAGCTGTGGGATGGCAGGGCTACAGTGGGCGCAGTGGGCCCTCACCTGGTCTCTTTGATCTCTTCCCCTTCCCCTTCCCTCTGCCACTGCTGTTGCCGTCACTCAGAGTGGGAGTTTGAGGTGACTGCCTTCTACCGGGGCCACCAGGTCTTCCAGCAGACCATCTTCCCCCAAGGGGGCCTGCGGCTTGTGGGCTCAGAAGCTGGGAACAGGATGCTGCCTGGGCAGTCAATAACACTGCCAGACCCTGAGGTGTCCCTGTCAGACCAGGGGGTGAAAGGCTATGTGAGGCGTGTGCTCAGCAGCCTGGGCGGAGGCCTGGCTCTGTGGCGGGCAGGGCAGCGGCTCTGTGCCCGGCGGCTGGGGCACTGCCATGCATACTGGGCCATGGGCGAGGAGCTGCTCCCTGACTGTGAGCACGGGCACAAAGGCGAAGTCACCAAGGACCTGGACCGCAACGTGTTTGACTTGGGGCCTTTTGTGGCAGGTGAGTGCCCTGTGTGGAAAGCAGAGGGGCGGCTGGGTAAAGGGCTCCAGGGCCCGGCAGTGTGGGATTGAATTCAGAGCCTGCCCCTCTGTGCCCAAGCAAAGGACAGGCCTGCTCTCCCGTGAGTGACTGGCCCCTCTCCACCCCTGCAGCTGGGGGTCCATGGGTCCAGCACAGCAAGTCCCAGGGAACTGGGTGCCACTGTCATTGCCATTATTGTTACAGAGGATGTCCAAACAGCCAGAGGGCTGAGGATGCAGCTCAGCAGCAGACCACTTGCCCAGCAAGTGTGAAGCCCTGGTGCCATCTCCTGCCCCCCCCCCCAATAGCTAGCAGGAAAGAAAACCCTTAGGGGCTTGCTGGCCAGTAGAACTGCAGTGACAGCAATGAGCTGGACTGTGCTGTCCTGTATGGTACCCACCAGCTACACAGCCTGGTGAAAGGCAATGAGCCAAGTACAACTGAGGAGTGAGTCTGAATTTTTATTTCATGTTAGTTACAATTGTTTTTTGGAGACAGGGTCTCACTATATAGTCCAGGCTGGCCTTGAACTCACTATGTTGCCCAGGCTGGCCTCAAACTTGTGGCAGTCCTGCCTCAGCCTCTCAAGTGCTGGGATCATAGGCATGTGCCACTACACCCGGCTTAGTTACAGTTTAAATTTAAATAGCCACATGTGGCAACTGTCCACATATTGGACAGCAAAGCCTCAAAGAGTTAAAGAGCAGGAAGCGCAAACCCCGACTGAACTCCACTGAGCGTCCTTGGGGTGGGACTGTCCTCCTCAGGGCCTGGTTCCCCCTCAAAAGATGGGGCTCCGGGTGCTGGGGTGGAAGTAGGGAAGTGGGAAGCAGGGAGGAGGAACACTTCAGGTTATAGCAGAATTCCAAGGACTTTCCTCAGATGGGCAGCCCCCTGCCATCGTGGCAGAGGGCATTAATGGAAATGGTGGGGTTACTAATTGAGTTGAAGGTTTGTGGTGGGGAGAGGGTCTTTCCTTCTCTGAGTAGACTCCTGGGCCCCCAGATCTGATTGCCTTCATGGAAGGAAGTGGACACTCGCCACGCTACACTCTCTGGTTCTGCCTTGGGGAGTCATGGCCCCACAACCAGCCGTGGGTCAGGAGGCTTGTGATGGTCAAGGTGCTTGCAGCCCTGGGCTCCTAAGGGTGGGAGGCATGGTCTTGCAGAGGGAAGAGGTTGCATCAGGATCTACAACTCCCAGAAGTCCTTCTGCGACATTCTAACTTCCAAGGGTCAGCTGTCCTAGTTCCTCATCCCCAGGAGCTTAAGGCTGTCCTTCACAACCTGCCCTCACCCCGGAGCCTGTTTGAACTCTTCAGGCCCTGGGGAAGTTGGCAGATCTTAAGTCCTAGCAGCCTCCCAGGGGTCCTGACCACAAACTGTCCAGCCCTGGGACTCTGGCTCCTGTGTTTGTGACTATGGGGGAAACAACGGTGTGCAGCAGCCTTGCTCCCCATAGTTCATTCTGGGCTAGGCTGGGGGCTGCTGGGAATTGTGGTCCACTCCTCCCCATAGAAGACACTGGCTAGGTGTCTTCCCTAACTCAGCCTTCTCCCCTCCCTTCCTCAGATTATCCCCACCTGCCTCAAGGTCCTGTTAAACTTGGCCCGGTCGGAGGGTGCCTCCTCACTAGAAAACACCGTAGACTTGCACATTTCCAACAGCCAACCCCTCTCCCTCACCTCCGATCAGTACAAGGCCTACCTGCAGGACCTGGTCGAGGACATGGATTTCCAGGCTGCCAGGGAGGCCTGAGCCCTGGCCATCCACTTCCACCAATAAAGCAGTCCCTGCTACACTCGTGTGTGTGCCTGGTGTTGGGTGTCCCCAGGCTGACCCTGCCCACAACTGGTTGCTGCTCCTGATGGGGTCTCTGTTCCTCATCAGTGCGGCTGCCATCACTCAGGTGCCCAATGCGTGAGGACCAGCCACCATGCAGGGGGCAGCTGACACTTGTTACCTGTTTCCCTCTTCCCAGGGATCTGGTGAGGAGGTGACAGCCACCTATTTTACAGATGATGACACTGAAGCTTACAGAGACAAAAGGCACAAATAGAAAACAACCTGGGTGAGAACCCTGGGCTGATTCGACCTGTGCTTCCCCAGGGAAGCCTGAGGTGAATCCAGCCCAACACCGCCTATGCTATGTAGGGCAGATGCCCCTTCTCCTCCATGGCCTGGGCCCTCTGCAGCATGTGGGGCCTGCCTGTCCTGGTGGCTGTGACCCTGCCCCTGCACTTTCCTGATGGGGCTGCAGTTCTGGGTGAGAGGGGACCAAGTACATGGCCTTTGCTGTTCTGTGCCTCAGTTTCCCTCTCAGTGGCTTAGATCACTGTAGCTTCACAGGGCTGCTTACAAGAACACGACTGGGAACAGAGGCCTTGCATTTGGGGGTGGCTCCCAGGAGGCCTAAGTCCAGAAGATACTTGGAGAGCTTGGGGCCCCTGCCTCCTGCCACCACCACCGTCTATCAACAGCTGCTACCCACCTGGCACTGCTCTCAATGCTCCACCTGCTGAGGTTCTGTGTGATCCCCAAACCACCACATTAAAGAAACAGGCCCAGAGAGAGCAACGCACTCGGCCCAAGGCGGCTTTCCAACCTCACACTCGGCCTTTAACATATTCTTCCCCAGTTCTTTCCCAAGTCTCTCTGAAAAGAAAGGGCTAAAATAATGGGGCTGGGGGTGACATTTAATGAAGACTTTAATGAAACTGGGGGGAGGGACACGAACAGAGAGGAGCGATGGGGACAGGCTTGGGGCCACGGGAGATGGGTAGGGCTGGGCGGGCGGGGGGGGGGGCCTCCTCTTCCCCGCAGCGACCCTCCCCCAGTCATTCCACTGACGAGGGGGGCAGTGGGGAGGTGGAGCCATAAATACGTCCAGAATCTCAGAGGCGAGGGGAGGCAGGAACAGCCAGGGTCTCACAGAGGGGGCAGGGGCAGCCCCGGGCCGCCCTTGTCGGGGGGCCCAGGCTCCTTGGGTGGCCGGGGTGGTCCTGGGGGGTCCCCTGGCTTGCGGCCGTGCTTGCGGAAGTAGCGGTAGCGCTGGACGTAGGCCCGCACCAGGTTGCTCACCTTCACCGGGTTGATCTCCCCACTTTTGCTGTGGCAGATCTGGGGAACCAGGGCACCCATGTCACCGCCACCACCCAGGCCCCTTCCACTCTGGACTGCCGAGCACAGCCTGGGCCAGGGGCTGCTCTCCCAACCTAGGCCAATGCCACCACTCGTCCCCCTTGACAACGGGCTCCCCCGTGCTAGCAGCACAGGCCTGGGTTGGGCTGGTGAAATCCTGTCCCCGTGCGTCCCCCTGCACCCCACCTTGTGGACGGCCTTCCTCAGGATGTCCTTGTACTCCTCCTTGGTGATGTCCTTTTTCTGATAGTACGGCTTGATGGCCAGCTTCACCTCCTCCACTGCCCGCTCCTGCGTGTGCAGCTTCTTCAGATACTGGCAGGTGGCGACACACGGGAGAAAGGACAGTGAGAACCTAATGAGAGCCTGTGGCACCGCAGGGCCCACTGGCCTCTGTGTGCAGCTTAGCCACCCTGGAGGTGGAGTCCTGCTCTGCCCTGCACACCCGCTGCTGGAGTCACTCGGGCACACCAGGCAGCTCTGGGCCACGCCTGGGACACAAGTGCCCTGCCCTCACACCCCAGTGGGGACATACACGTCAGGCCACAGGTCACCACTGTTGTTAATCTGACTTCACAGGGCTTGTTCTGAGTGTAGAGAAACCGTCACACAGCTCTACAGCAGAGCAGTGGTGAGAGCAGGTCTGGGTTTTCGAAGCCCTGCCCTGGCTCCTGATGGACAGTGGGGCTGAGGAGCACTTGGGAGGGGGACAGGAGCTGCAAGTGCTGCCAGCTCAGTGGCCAGCAGGGGCTGAGCTCAGCTGTGGAGACAGCACAGTGACACTGGAATCCTGCTCCACCACTACCATGGGCAGCTGAACCTCTGTGGCTCATCTGAAAAATGTGACAGCAACATGGGGAGGTCAGGCCGCAACCAGACACGGGTCAGTCCAGGGGTGCTCGGTGAACAGGGAACGACACGTTCCCTGCCTCTCAAGTCCTTGCAAAAGCAAATGGGAAGCCAGGCGTGGTGGTGCACACCTGTAATCCCAGCACTCCGAGGCTAAGGCAGGAGAATCGAAGCAAGTTCGAGGCCAGACTGAGCTACACAGTGAGTTCAGGAACACCCTGAACTACAGAGCAAGACCTTGTCTCCAAAAAACCAAAAAGAGGGCTGGGGATTTAGCTCAGTGGTTCTGCCTCCTGCCTTGAAAGCACAAGGTTCTGAGTTCGATCCCCAGTACCAAAAAAAAGTTAAAAAAACCAAAAAGACAAATAAAAAAGCAGATGGGCGCTAGGCATGGTAGCTCACACCAGTAATCTCAGCACTAGCGAGGCTGAGGCAGGAGGACTGCCAAGAGTTCAAGGCCAGCCTGAACTGTTTAACAAGACCCTGTCTCAAAAAAAAAAAAAAAAAAGCAGATGGGTCTCTCCAAGAGTCGAGGGGAGCAGGTCTTCCACAAGCACAAGGGATAGCCTTTAGCACCTCTGAAGCCAGGTGAATGTGTCTCTGTGCCAGAGCCAAAAAAGTAATGTCAGCAGGCAAGGTCTCGGGAAGGCAGCCTGAGGTGACCTTCCCCAGCAGCATCTCTCCAAGCTGAGGTGGAGCCACCAGCCAGCCAAATAGGAGGTAAGTTTCTACAACAAGCAGCCCCAATGCCCATCTCAGAGTGGCTACAGGAGACATAGGGCAGCAAACAGACCCAGCAGCCTGACTGGAAGAGGCAGGGCCCCCTGGCAGGGTCCCTACTGTCCTGGGGCTGTGGTACATGCTGTGGCCCAGAGACCAGCTAAGCTTTGGCCCTGTCTCCAGGGCTTCAAGGGGAATTCATGGGTGCATGTGGTTTTCTCTGGCACTTGCCACGAGGCAGGTAAGGGTGCGTGACGCCATCCACTGGCTCCGCAGGGGCTGTTGGGCAGGAACAAAGGCATCCAGCCCTGACCTAGAGGAAAAGAGCCCTGGGAGCCAGGAGGAGGCACAGATAGAAGCCTAAGTTTGGGCCAGGGATTTAGCTCAGTGGTTTTGCTGCCTGCTGCGCAAGTGCAAGGACCTGAGTTCAATCCCCGGGACCAAAAAAAAAAGAGAGAAGCCTAAGTTTGCAATCACCCCCACAGCCATTCTCCCTTTCTCCAAAGAGGTTCTTGTCCCCCATTTCTGGGAAACCACCCTCTCCTACTTCCACAGAGCAAGAGAGCAAGAGAGGGAGAAAGAAACAGAGAGAAAGGGAGAGAACACTGGGTAACTGAGGGGTAGACAAACATAGGCATGTCTGGAAACACGTATGTGTACGTGTGTGGATATGTTTACACACACCATACATACACATATACAGATCTAGAGCATTTTCTTTCAAAGTCATCCAGCACCTTTTTCCCATTCATCTGTCCCAGTGGAAGTTTTGTTCCTAACAATATGACTGACTGACTAATCCACCTCTCCCGAGGCCAGCTCACCTTGTCTGTGTCTCCACGTCCCTCAGAGCTACTGCTCCCCTCTCTCTTGTCAGACGCAGCAGCCAGCCCAGTGGGGGTGGGCGGGGTAGAGCCACAGCCCCCCAGAGGGAGGCTGCCAGGAAGCAGGTAGCTGGAAGGGCCAGGGGGCAGACCCAGAGAGGTGGGCACAGGAGCTGGGGTCACCCCCAGGGCTGAGGGTGGCTTCCTGTGGCTGAGGATCTGTGGGAAGAGGTGGGCAGTGAGCAAAGGCAGGTAGAGGGGAAAAGGAACTTGCACCCCATAGTTCCTACTCTAATTTCCCAACAATCCCAGGGCAACACCTTCCTCTTCTGGCCAATACCTTGCCCCAAGGCCTGCTGGGAGTTGTAGTTCCTCTCCTAAGCCCAAAGCAATGGACACAAGAAAGGGCTATAAGGACTCTTCCCTAGGGAAGCCCACCTGGTTGGTGGCCTGGATCAGCTCCTGAGCTTTTGCTCGGCTGGCCAAATTGGCCTCTTCCATCTTGAAGAGAAGTGCAGTCACTACAGGAAGCAGAGAAATGAGATCAGAAGGAGGTGACAAGAAAGGAGATGGCCTAGCCCCCTGCTGCCATCTCCCACCCTGGGTCCCAGCCAGGCCTTGGAGCCTCCTGCTCGGAACAGGAAAGAGGCCTGGCCCCTGATAGGATCACCTCATCCCCTGAATGTTCTTAGGACTCAAGGTGTATATGACACCCGGGGGTGGAGGAAAGACACCAGAGTCACCGAGTGACAAGACAGTGGCAGGACTTGGGAGTCTGTCTCCCACTGGTGTTTATTGTCAGCTCCTCCCCCTTCCTGTGAGGTCTGACAGAAACGATAGCATCCCCTAAGGGACAGAGCCCTGCTCAACTCGTCCTTTCTGGTCCTTCTGTCCTAGTCTGAGTGTCGGCAGGCCCCAGCCCCACCTTACTGAGCTGGCTGCCAACTGTTTGTACCTGCCCCCTCACCCGGCACACCAAGCAGACTTCCAGAAGGACATGAGTGGCCCACCCGGTCACTACATACCTACCCCTTCAGGCATCCCCACTGCCACCAGTCCCCATCCTCCCGATCCCGCCTTATCTGCACCCGCCCCAGGAACACTCACAGGCCAGGACGCCACTGGTGGTACAGTCCACACCAGCTGGCAGGTTCCAGGGCATGGGCGGGGGCAGCGTGGGCAGCTGGGAGGCTCGGGTCGCAGGCCCGTCCTCTGCCCCTGAATCTCCGGCTGTGGAGCCCGCACTGGGGGCAGCGCTCGGGGCAGC